ACATGCAAACTGAGCAAGCTGCTTAGAACAGAGGCTAAAGACAACTGCTCTGCATGTTTTTATTAGTATGAAATGTTCCAGTAAACCAAAATAAAGTAGACAATATCAGGACTTTCACTGCTATTTAGTGGAGAGGAAACTCTGAGGCCTGAAAAAGTGCAACACAGAGTCTTCAGAGGCACTGACTCTGTCTATTTCAGGCTCTTCTATTTATTGCTGGCATGCACAGGCCTTCTCTTCTCTCAGGTTTCATCCTTCTGCAGACTTTCTTGCTCAAATAAGCCGAATCGTGAAGAAAACCAACCCGGTTTAACTCAGTCTGCAGAGTTCAGCTGTAGTTTATGTAACAGGTCATGCTTTAAAAGGAAAGGTTACAATGTGACTCTGTACTAAAATAACTGAGTGAATTCATTTAAATTACTCCAAAATGCAGCATTTCGACACATTTCTGCGGCTTGACTGACTGCGTTTTATTGTGTATTAATAAGTGAAAACACTCACCTGGCTCGTACTTGAGGTAGAGGATGGAAACGATGTAATAGGCGACATCAAACACCGGAAACATTCCCATTTTGGAAAAAGCCTGGGCGAAATCGCCCAAATTCAGAACCGCGAGTACGTTTTCCATGTTGCCAAGTGAAAAATCCCTTTTATTTCCTTGTCTTTTTTGTTTGTTTGTTTGTTTTTAAATTCTGACTGCGCAGTCTGGATGAGAAGCCCGCCGAGCCTCCACCAAGCCCCCCAGTCTCGAAAGTAACGCCTGCGACACTCAAGCGCTCCTATTAATACCACCCGAAACATCCACAGGCTCTCCGATGCATCTTCATCCTCCTTTACGCGCCTCCATCCCGCAGCTGCTCCGCTCTCCAGGTGACGGGGAGGTTTTCAGGAAAACGGAAAACTGGGTCGTTTAAAGGGTTAAACCCCGCTGAGGGTCATAACAAAACACCGAGACACGTGGCCGAGCTTAATATGGGCGAAGGTTTTATTCAGTAGGGCAAAAAACAATCTGAAAAAAATCCTAAATCCGTATCAGATGATTATCGTCTCACTAGTCATTAATAGATCTAGAATAATCCAAACCGTCGGTGTTTGTTATTCCGTAAGATGATAATCTAGTCAAAGGTACAGGAACAGTAAATAAAATCCATCCATTCCATTTGATATTATCTTCAAATGAATTCATTCGTTTATCTTTTTTTTTTTTTTTAGAAAAAGAAAATAGCAGTAATATTCACTCTCCACTGGAGGGCGACAAAACATTTCTTGTTTCTACCGAGGCCGAAAAGAGACTCAAAGTGTAAATATAACGCATTTATTGTGTTATGTGTTAAAAGCATATTATTTTATGTCTTATTTTACTTATTACTCTATTTATTTATGTATTTCTGCTTTTTTATTAAGCAGCTATTTTATATAGTTGTAATTTTTCAGTTCTGTTAAATTAAGATACTAAAGTACTACAATTTGTCACATCAATATCATTTATTGATAATCATTACCTTTTTATAATTAAACATAAGCACAATAAAAGCTTAAATATGTATACATTTAGCATCTTCCTTGCATTGTAACAATTTTTGCATTTTATCTGCAGCTGAAAACAAACATAATAAAAGATTGTAAAATGTGTGAGAAAAAAATGATAAAGCATTCTTTTATTATACTGTTCAAATAATGTAGATAATGATTTAAAAAGTAGGTTTTGATTCAGCTTGACAACATCATTTCTTAAGGATAAAATATTCTAGTTAAGATGCTGAAAATTAATCCTTCTAACGCAGTTAACACTGTGTGACGTCATTCATAGCCCATTCTCCTGTATTTTGCTCCCTGCAGGATGTCTTAAAGGTATAAATTAACGTTTTTTGCTTTGCTTCTTCTGCTTCAGTCTTTACACTGACGACAGATGACACTTAAAGTGTCCAACTCAGATTACTCTAAGTATACGTCGCGTTTTTGCAACTTTTTGCGAATCGTAAAACGCTTGCTGTGCCTTACAATCTAAATCCAGGGCAAAGAAACTATTACCCGTCGTAATAGCGTTCTAAAATCTTATTGGTTACGTTCCCGCGTACGTCAAGAAACCAGGAAGTAAGGTGTTTCTGTGATGTGGAGAAAATGCTCGGTGATCTGTTAATATTCGGGTAATTTATAAATGTTTTTACTTTTTGTTTACAAAGCAGAAAGTTTTCTACTAATTAATTTGTTTTGAGTGTGTTGCTGTTTCCCGGATTAGCGGGAAAACATCGATGAATGTCGTGAGACGTTATTGCCAGCCAGCAGCTAACGCTGGCATTAGCTTTCTGGTTAATAACAACATTTCCTTCTGTTCTCTTTAGGACGCTGCTGGTGAATGCAGGAGCTGTGCTAAATTTCAAGCTGTTAGTATACCTACCACTTTAACTACATTAAAGCTCATTTAACAACCGTTTAGCTTCAGGCTAGCAGCTGATGGTTTGTTTGTTTATTTTCTCAGAAAGAGGAAGGAGTCCCATGGATTTGCAGATGAGTCCGGAGCTCCAACAACAGGTTTGTGTAAGAGGAAGTTAAGAACTGGACTGAAACCTTTAGGTTTTTACTAATAATGTTTGTTTACTGTAGAATCATTTTATTTAACTGAATCATCTGGACATTTCTGCGTCTCTTGCCTGCTAATAGGTGACAACATCAGAGAGTTCCTCCTCAGCCTGCGGTACTTCCGGATCTTCATCGCTCTCTGGAACGTCTTCATGATGTTTTGCATGATTCTGTGAGTAATTATCTGCTTGTTTGTTTCTGGACTTTACAGCTGTGGGTTAATGTTACTGGGTTAATTTTTACTGCTGCAAAATCAAAAAATTGTGACAAAAAATAAAGGATACTGTCCCAAGAAAATGGCCAATATTATTTTCTGAGCGTGGCGCTAATTCTCTTTCCCGGTTTGAATAGTCTTTCAAACCATACATAATGATGGTTTGATGTAAACAAGGAAAAGAAACGAATTCACTTTAAAATTAAGCATTTTCATTTTACTTGAGCTAAATAACTTTCTGAATAAAACCTTGTTATAATTTTATAACTGAAGGCTGTTTCTCTTGTTCTAAAAGTGCTACAAAATAAAAACTAAGAGTTGTTGCCTTATTTTTCTGTACAAATTAAAAAAGTCCTTGTTTTGTGTCAGGAGGTGTATTTTAAATGGCTGTTTGTGTATTTAATCTTTTACTGCCAAAATTTATTCACAATTGTATGACAGCAAAATGTTTACAAAACATTTTTTCTTTTAAACAGATTTTAAACTGTAATTTGAATAAACAACATATATTTGAAATTAGGCTTATGCAAATTAGCATAATTTGCATAAGCCTAATTATGCAAAAACACCGAGACACGTGGCCGAGCTTATTATGGGCGAAGGTTTTATTCAGTAGGGCAAAAAAATAATCTGGAAAAAATCCTAAAGCCATTAATAGATCTAGAATAATCCAAACTATACCTTTATAGTTTAAGGGAACTTAAAGGTATAGTTTCCTTTAAAGCGAACCAAGAAATGGTACCAAAGTGCTTTCAGTATAATTTAATTAATGGTAAACATGTCCCACATTGGCTGGTTTTAGGTGACTTCACAAGATTGGTCAACAAGGGGTTAACATTTCCTTACAGATGCTCTGCATTGCAGTGTTAGAATGAGGATTATGATCGTTTTGTCTTTCCATATTTACACCACTTACATTCTGCTAATGTTGTAAATCTTGTTTTTTTTCCAGACTCTTTGGATCGTGATCAGTTTGGCTGAATTGCACATCCAGGATGTAAACGTTTCAGACAGATGCTACAAACTTCTCCATGCCTGGACACTTTTACCCTTTTAAAATCGCAATAATGTTTAAATTCCCCAAAAGTTCACTGTATTTCAGGCTCAGTCGGATAACCTAAATCATATTTATTTTCTTTCAAACGATGTTACATTTTATTTTTTTAGCTTCAGCTATAACATCATCTGTGTACTTCAGATTAAAAATGAGCATAAATTCTCACCTTTATTAGGAACTTCACTTCTTGTTTACATTTCACAGACATGACACATTCCCTAGTTTTATTCATCAGATAGTCTGTGAAAAGTATCAGATTTAAATATCTTTCTTTAAAATCAGTTCATGTGACTTGTAAGAAAAAAAAATGCTGTATATACACGATATTGTAAAGGTCCTTATACTTAATAAAAATAACTATTCCTACTGTTTTCAGATGTTATTTGACTCTTTAAATGTATTTAAAAAGTCAATAGATCACTTTTTCTAAAAACACAGATAATATACAAAACTTTGTTTAAACCAACTTTTAGTTAAATGTGTTTAACCACATGCAAAATATAGCTTGTTTTTTTTTTTTAAATAGAACTGAAAACAGGCTGTACAATGGCTGCTGGAAGAGACAGTGTTTTGTTGCTGACTTACCATCCAGAAAACACTTGCTGCATTCTTGCTGGTTGTGCAGGAGGCTCTAATAATGCTTTTCAAAGATTTACAGTTGTATAATTGCACATCTGTTTGCAGCCATTTTAATGCGAGAGTCTAAGCATTGAGCTGGGATGGCACTTAAAATTAATATGATTTTATAAATGTTTTTGCAGCTAAAATTTCTGAGGCACAGTTGACACCAAATTTGACAGATTGTTGTAAATATGGAGCTCTTGAATCATTCAATATTTTAGCAGCACAAACGACTGACACCAATGTCGTTTGATTTGAAGAACTTCACTGGTTACTGGAACTGATCCTCAGTAAACCAGTTTCAGTGGCTCCCCCTAGAGGATAAATGCTGGATATCATCTGACTTGCTACTTGTGTTTAAAAAGCAGAAGTTTAAAAATTTTCTCATTTGTTGCTGCAGATTAGTCAAATATTCCCATGAAGCCCCTCTGTTCTACTTTTCTTTTTCTAAAAAAAGAAAAAAAAACGCCCATTAACAATTGTCTATTTATATTGTTTTGTTTTGTAAAATTAAAACACACACTTCAATCAGAAACAGCATTACATTTATTTTAAATTATCCTGGATGCCGAGAAACACACAAAGCAACAGAAATAGTGTATTAAATTTCTATACAAGCATTTTGACAAACAGTGCAATAATCGGTTTCTATTTCTCAGAGTGGGTGTTGATATGTTGCTTTTATCAGAAAATATGTCTGTTTTAGTTTATTCAGTGGGGAGAGTTTGGTAATACATCTGTATGAGTTTGTTTTTACAGTAACTGATTAGTTTGACTTGTTTACATCACAGTTTGTTTGTTTGAAAGAGCCACACAGAAAATCAGTCTTTTTCTGTCCAGTAAAGCTTAAAATAACAAAACTTGTAGAAAACGCATCTTTTTCCCGAACCAAGTGAGACGTCTGTTCCCATGAGGATCTCTGTCAGAGCTTAATGGTGTTCTAGTTTGAAACTCCTGAAGTTTTTTGTTTTTCTTCTGGATAGTTTGCTCCCATATGCTGAAGTGCAGAGTTAGTTTGAAACGTTTCAGTGATCCATGCCGTCGTTGTCATAAACATCTATATTAAAAAAAGACAACAGAATAAATTAATAGATTTTAATTTTTGTTAAAATTTAATACAGAATCTGGAAATAGAAGAAAAAAAATGCAAGCTCACCGTCAGGGTAATCCACATCATCATAAATGTCTCCTTCCCTGAAGAAAAACAATTATTCGGCAACATTAGTTTTAATTTTTTAAATAATTCAAACAATAATTATGTCATTACTAAATTCAAATACATATGTAGTATGTTTGTCAGTGTATATATTTGTGAAATGTATACAGATGGATATGTAGGTATGTATGGATGGAGGTGTATTTTCTTTTTTTTAATTTTTGTATACTAAAAACTGTTAGGATGTTTTCTTTATTTTTTTTTTATTTTTTTTTTCTCTGTATTGAATGAAATGAATAAATAAATAAAAAATTAAACAAAAATATCAGCAATAAATTTACGCTGGAGTTGGAAAAAGTCCAGCTCACCTCCCTGTGTGCACTTCTCTGAACTTTGTAACTTTACAACTGCTCTTGGTAGGAGGTTGCTATGGAGTTGCTATGACAACTCCATAGCAACAAGACCCAAGCTTAGAACTAGCTCTGGCCTTCTTCCTAACTTATAAACTATATAAGTACATTACAGCTATTACTAGATTACAATCTGAGTTCTCTATCCACCTCTGTGTAGTACTAAGAAAAGTATCAGGGATATTTTCTGTAGTATTTACTGCCTAACTAGCAAAATTAGCTTAGCTAAGGTAGCTTTTATCTGCTAGCTAAGATAGCATCTCAAAGTGCAAACATAAGACATTTCTTTAAAACACATCTACACACTGTAATTAAATCCATGTTTGACAATAATGTAATGTATTTCTTTGTTTTTTATTAACAAAATGTTTTAAACCTAAATAATTACAAAACTAAACTTGATTTACACAAAGTAATTCTTAACAGAAGCTGAGATTTACTCACATTGCGAGAAGAATAGATTTTGGCACATATCCATCTGAAAAACAAGATATAAAACACAAATAAATTAACAACAGAACCAAATTCAGCCTGTGTTCTGAGACAAGTGTAATTATTTTGCTAGTTATAGCTACTTATAAAATCTTCCCAAGTTAAAGAATACAGTACATTTAAACAGTGGTAAAATGGTTTCTGCAGCTTTTAATTCGGATTTAATCATGTAATTAACTTCTCTGATAGGTTGTCGCTCACTGTTCAAAATCAAACAGGGACGTTGGACAGTTTACGTACATTTCCCAAGCCGGTTTCGACACAGAAACTTCTTGTTGCTCGTCTCTTCGATGACATCAACGACTTCTCCCTGAGTCACGTGTAGGTCCTTCCCTCCTGGCTTCTTTATGATACAGCTGGGGTCCACCATCATGCTGTGCAGCACCCGCAGAGGCCCGTTATACTGCGAGGAAACAATCACTTTTATGAAGAAATCAGACTCGTGCAAAGTTGAAAACAAAATCTACGAAGGTGAAGGAAAAATGTTTCACCTTAAATTTTTTTCTTAGCTCTTTTTCCTCTTTGGGGTTTATGCTGAAAGATAAATAATCAGAATTAATCAAAGTATCCCTGAATTAAGGAGGGACAATAAATCAATAACAATATATATCACAGTATGCAAACAATCAATAGTAACATGACAGTTTTCATGTGGCATCACACCGTGAACTTTGTAGCTGCCAGCCATCTTGCTAGGCAGTTGCTATGGAGTTGCTACGACAACAAACAAGCCACAA